ACCTCATGGCAGGGAGGCATTCATCCAAGCCCTGCAACATGGTTGGCCCTGGAACCCAGGGAGAAAGGAAGGGTCCTCACCCTAGGCCCAGACACCCAGGGACCTGTCAGGGCAGCTCTTGGAGGCTCCCCCCCCCTCCAGTTAACCAGCCATGTGGTCACTCCAGCACCCTCAGGGCCATGGGGAAGGCAAGCCGTAGCCTGCTGGAAGGAGGGTGAGGGTGAAATCTGGAGCTCCCGAAACCAGAGATCCCACAGAATCTGGGCACTGACGAATTCATCCAGAGAGGTGCTGGGCCGGGGGTCGGGGGGCAGATGGGAGAACTGCATGCTGACCTTCGAAGTACCTTGGTCCAGCTCCAGATGAGGGGTACACTCAGCAAGTGAACCTCAGTTGGATGGGTTGTAAATGCACAAAGCCAAGATTACCCTGGCCTCTCAGGGAAGCTCATTAAAAAAGCAATCTACCTAGCGCCTGGAACAGAAATGAAGGGGGGAGAGCGCACAGAAGACGATGCTCTGTCACCTGCCTCACACCACAGCCCACTCCAGAGTGGACAGCAGAGGGAGGCCTCCTGCGAACCCCGGAAACCCCTCCTCCACTGGGCCAGCATGCTGCTGAGCTCAGCAACTTCTAGGCAGAGGGGCTGGCAGCCCACCACAGCAAGAGGCATCGGCTGACTAGGCACGGCTTTTTCTATTCTTGCTCAGACACCCACCCTGAGTGGGGCGGTGCTGGGCCTCCCTCGTGCAGCACCTGGGGGGCCCCATCTGCTCCACTTGGTCCCCCCACTCTTGTCTGGAAGGGTGGCTGGGCCTCCTGCTCTGGTGGACAGACTCCAGAGAAGGGAGGTCAGGGGCCCTTCATCCTGGTAACCTGAAGGGAAACAGCCTCAGGAGACAGGCTGCAGGAAGGGCGTCCGGTTGTACAAACTGGATTCAGGCCTCTAGGCAGCCCCCAGAACAGGTTCTGCACACTGTCCCCTCTGGGGTTCGCCCAAGCTAATTCCCTCTAGCAGACAGGATGGTGCCCACCCCATCCTCACTCCTGCAGAAAAGGAGGAGGCCTATGTGGCTTGGTCAGTGCCTAGTTCTTAGAGCCTACAGCCCTGGTGTGTCAACCCCAGATCTGGCTCAGTCTAGTGCAGAGTGGCTGGATCACACCAGGAAAGCACACCAAGTGCTGTACAGGAAGCAAGGATTTAAGGGCTTTGGAATGGTAGATTTGTAACCACTGGGGCCTTAAGAGACCTGGAACCTCTCAGGTTCCGAGCTGCTAGGAGCAGGGGATGGGGCAGCCAAGGCAAAGTAAGATGACCTGTGCCCTCAGCTCTAGGGCCCTCATTTCCTCACAGTCCAGGGAAGACTACATGAAAAGGACTGAAGAACTGAACAGGAGAGCAATGCCATGGACCACGTTCAGCTCTGGACTCGTGAGATACCCAACCTTTATCCTCCAAACACACCAGGGACCCTGCACCCTCCTGACCCAAAAGTATGCCAACAAACATGATTTACAGAGGTCACAGAAGCTATCCTACCCCCAGCCTGTCTGTAAGTGCAGTCCTGAGGCAAATATGGAAGATAAACAAAGGCAGGCAACAAGATCTCACTCCCGGCCTTCCCCAGCCCTGACATCTTGGGGAAAAGGCCCCTAGGGCACCAATATGAGCTGGAGGAAGAGAAGTCAAATTTTAAGCACTGGAAACCCAGCCTGGCCTCCAGGGTTGTGGCTACAGTGTACTCAGCAGGAAAGCTGTCCCCCAGAGGTCAGCCCTGTGCCTCTAACCTCCACAGAAATGGGGGGCTCCCAAGCAAAGTATGTGGCTGTACAGGTCCCTCTGACCAACTCAGCTCCCCTAACCTAGCTGTTCCTTTGCACTCCTCTTTCGGAGGGAGCTGCCAACTGGTTCTGGCCCAACTGTGAGCACAGGCAGCACTGCCTCCTCCCCGCCCCCAGCCCCAGGTCACACTCAGGCCTTTGTTCTACCTGCACACACCGGCAGGCAGAGCCAACCCCCTTCCCTGGCAGCTCCTCCCCAGCTCTCTTAAGGCAGGTTGGGGGGCTGGGGGGCTCACAGGTGCAGGCGGAAAGGCACTTCACTTGTCTCACTTCTGCTTTGGGTATGCGAGCGGCCATGGTAAGTGAACACTGCAGGTGGGCTACACACACCAAGGAACCCACTTTCCCACCCGACCCACGCAAGGCCAGCCTGGACCCGCTGCTGGGGAGAGCCAGATTATACACTGGCCCGCGATGCAAGGCAAGTGATATCCCCAGGGCAGTGGCCAGTGACCCGAGGGAAACCGAGGCTATGCGCAGCCGGCGGGGCGGGAGCGGTGGAGGAAAAAAGTAGAGAGGCGACGCGGAGAAGGTGAGAACAGAGGGCAGGGTGACTACGGGCCGGGCTGCAGAGGACCAACTGGGAGCCTTGGGCTCCCAGCAGGTCGGGAGGGGGTCCACAAGCGGCCCGCGGGGAGGACAGGAGAGGGGGGACGGCGAGGGCAGTGCGGGCCCAGGACAACCCGGCGGGGGCATGGCCCGGGGCTGCAGCCGCAAGCTGGGACCCGGCCGCTCCGGGCGCTCACCTGGGCGTGCGCAGCGCGGCGGGGTCGCGACGGTCCAGCACGCCGGGCACGCAGTTGGTGAGCTCGGTCCAGTCGGCGTGCAGCCCGCAGCTCCAGCCCGTAGAGAAGCGAGAGAAGAGCCAGGTCTCGCGGCGGTTGGGCCGGTAGCAGGTGCACTTCTTCTGGCCGGGCCGGCAGTCGCAGGGCA